GTCTTGATAATCTTGGATTCTTGATAAGTCTTGGAGTCTTGGATTAAGTCTTGATGGATCTTGAATTATCCTTTCTTGACTTATCTTGGACTCTTGACCTTATCCTAGGAGCTGCCGCCCCTAGGAGTGAGATGGGCCTTGGGATGGGCCTCCATCATGGTATTAAGAAGGGTATCTCTTGGGCTTGGAGAGGAATCCTCCAGTCAAGGGTAGCCTTGAAATGGGGTGGAAGTTGGGGAATGGTAAATCAATATATTTCTGGAATGACAAATGGATGGGAAATTCATCCCTTGCAGAAGAAAATAATGGTGGAAACATTAAGAATCCGGAGTTATTGGTTAGTGAATGTATTGATGATCAGAGGAAAGTATGGAGAGAGTAAAAAGTTAGAGAAATTGTTTCTACTTCTTCCTAGTAGAAAAATAGATCCATCTTTATTCCCTCAGTGAATAAGGATGATGAACTTATTTGGAGATTGGAACCAAAAGGTAATTTTTCCATCAAGTCGGCTTATATAGTTAAAATTATGGAAAATAGAGACACTAGTGATTCATTTAATTGGAATACTAAAGTTTGGAAATTATGCTGCCCCCTAAACTGAAAAATTTTCTTCTTCTTCTAAGGGGTAGGTTTCCTTCTAGGGAGTTTTTGAAGAAAAAGGGGTTTAACCTAGAGGACACTTGTGATAGATGTGGTGAGTTAGAGGATATCAATCATATTTTTTACCAGTGCACTTATTCTAAACAGATTTGGATGATGGTCTACCCTAACATAGACAGTCCATAAGATGAAGATGGAAATATGAAGGTTTGGTGGGAGAGAATTGCGATCCACAAACAAGAATATAAATTAGAAAAAACAACTTTTATATTATGGTTCATCAGGAAGAGTAGAAACAAAAGGATTTTTGAAAAGGTGGAGACTCCCCCTCCTCAAGTTTTGGAGAGAACAAGAATGGCCTTTTATGAGAATGTAAAAATTCATCAAAATGAACCCCATAGAGAATTTTCAAAGAAGTGGCGACTGATTATTTGGAAATCCCCAAAATACAACAAAATCAAAATTAATTTTGATGCATCTTGTATGAATGGTTTCAATTGTGTTTGTAGAGACTATTACTAAAAATTATGGGGGGAAAGTTTTAGATATAAAGGCGTATTATTTGGATAAAGCCACAATTAATATGGCCGAGGGCCTGGGCTGTATGGGAAGTCCATAATCTGGCTTTAAACTTAAAGGATTGTCCCTTAATTATAGTGAAATTCAAAGCAAATCAAGCTGTGATTGGCTTACCAATCAAGTCCAATTCAGTCCTTCAGACTCCTTAAATTTTAATATTCAGGATTTCCCTCCCCCTCTAGGTTTTATATGTAATTGTGATTCTTGGGGACGTGCCCCGGCTTTTGTAATACGGCTTGGATTTATCAAAAAAAACTTTAATATTTATGCAAAAAGCCCTTGAATCAACCACATTTTCACCTGGGGAAAAGTCGGAGGGGCTTTATCCGACGAACAGAATGGCAGTTTGGTTTGAATCATAATCGGAGGGTAAATTTGTATAGGCACGAACGGTCTTTCCTTTTTATGTTGATTTTAATTGCTTTATGTTTTACGATATAATCTCATAGATGATACAGTGATGGTCTTTTAGGGCCAACCCATCATTTCTTTATTCAGATGTTATTGCATTTGTGATCTGCTGCATATTATGGAATTCTCTTTTTCTTTTCGATGTTTTTTCTGCATATTTTATATGAAGATTAGTTGAGGTTTTGATTTTGTGCTTTAATTTTATCCATGGATTTTCCTTCTTGGAGTTTCGTATGAAATTATGTTTTTGCTGTGCTGCAGAGATATCAGTTGAATAGATGGAAACAACCCAACCACTTTCAGAGCTTCAAAATCTGCAAACACCTAAAAAAGAAGAGAATGATGTGGAAAAAGAGTGCAAAACTGGTCATCAATCATACGTTGTATCTTCTCGATGCACCCGTTCTCAGGTGGCTCCTGACTGGACTGCACGGGAAATACTTATTCTTATAGGCGAGGTTGCTTCTGTTGAAGGTGATTGCTTGAAAGCACTGTCTTATTATCAGAAATGGAAAATTATATCAGACAATTGCACCGCAGTGGGTGTTGTCAGATCATTAAATCAGTGCCACAGGAAGTGGGATTCACTTCTTCTGGAATATAAAAGAATCAAGGACTGGGAATCCCAGTTGGTGGGCAACGCATATTGGTCTCTGCAGTCTGAAAGGAGAAAAGAGTTTGGGCTTCCAGTTTCTTTTGATAGAGAAGTCTTTGAATCAATTGGTGAGTTTTTGAAGGCTCAAGAGGATCGCTGTACAGACCTGGATGATGATCCAGAAGGAGGGGCTGACATGCTTGATGTAATATTGGATTCTGGTAATCTTCTTTTTCCCTGGAAACGTTAAACTACTTTTATTGCTCTATATTTTTCTGTCCTACATAAAAAATATATTTATCTGATTCCAGTACTGCAACTCAACTCCCTTCCCCCTTAGATACCATAGCCTGTTTTCCTGCAATGTTGTTGGAGTATTTCAGGTTGTCGGAAAAGAAGATACTGATAACTATATATTTTGGTGGAACCTTTCTAGAGATATCACATTCTGTTTTGTTGAGATATTTTTTGATTTGATGCGTAGTGGAAGCTTGCTTCCTTGTATTTGAGATGACTCTGAGGATAGAACGTCAGTTGAGATTGTGAAACCAATAAGCTATGGTCTTCATGGACTTACTAGGAGCTCGAAATTTTAGAACCTTCTACCTATGTCTATGATGCTGCATCAGTATTGAATATCAGTTTTTCTAGATGTATGGACATCCATTACTGTTACGCTCAATTTTTTTTTTTTTTTTTTTTTTTTTGGAAAAAGGTAATGTAATTTATTCAGCACATAAAAGAGAGATACAACAAGACCCTAACCACTAATACTGTCTGGCACAAGCCAAATTACAAGCTCATCCATGATTTAGAACAAAACAAAAGAGATACATTCTGGTTTTTAAATTCCTCATTCTTCGACACCCAGGAACATAGCTTGCCCACGGCTTTCTGCACTACTTCATCCGGGCTTTTAAATTTTCACAGAAGATTCTGTTATTTCTTTCAGTCCAAATGGACCATAACACAGCTGCTGGAATGGTACTCCAAACAAGCTTTCATTTCTTGTTGAGACCCTCAACTCTCCAAGGCATCAACAGCTCCTTCACAGATTTTGGCATAGTCCAGCTAATCTCCAAAACCTTAAGAAAATGCCCCCAGACCAAAAAAGAAACTGGACAATGGATACACAAGTGCTCGGTAGTTTCTGCAAGATTTCCACACAAAACACAAGAGAGATCCAGAATCTGAATACCACGTCTCTCCAGGTTAGTCTTGGTCAGACATTTATCAAGAGCCATTGTCCAGACCAGGAAATTGATCTTGGAGAGACTAGTTGGATTCCAAATCTGCTTGACAGGGAAGTTCTCCTGACCTGATCTGCACAGCTTAAGAAACAGGGATTTAACTGTCGTCTGCATTCCACTTCCAAACCCATTCATCCTCTAAACTCAAATCAATCATCTAATTTTGAAGCAGCCCCAACAACACCACATACTCTTCCACCTCCCAATCAAACAAACTTCTCCTACAAAGAGTCCAAATAGTGGAGTCACCAAAAATGCTAAAGTTTTCAGCTACTGAAGAATCTTGATTCACAGAAATTTGGAATAGAAGGGGAAAAGCATCAGCCAAGGGATCCTCTGAACACCAGGGATCCCAAAATTTGATTCTATCCCCCTTACCAACCTTAAATCTGATCCCATCCAGGAAGAAAGGAATGCTCTTCGAGATACCTGCCCAAAGAGATCTACCCCCATTTAGATTAGGCTCCTTAGGTCTCCAATCACCCCATTCCACTCCATACTTTGCCGCAATAAGGCTTCTCCACCATGCATTCCTCTCAGAAGCAAATTTTCATAGCCATTTACTAAGAAGGGCAGAATTAAATTCCTTCAACTTTCTTATTCCCAGCCCACCAACTTCCTTGGGGAGGCACACTTGCTCCCACTTTACAATGTGAATCTTCTTTTCATTCTTCCCAACCCCTCCATAAGAAATTCCTTTGGAGTTGCTCCAGCCTATTTGCAATTTTGTTTGGGATGGGGAAAAGAGAGAGGAAATAAGTAGGGAGGTTGGAAAGAGTGCTCTTAATCAAAGCAACCCTACCTCTAAACGATAAATATTTTGCCTTCCAAGAGGCCAGTTTCTTCTCCATTCTCTCAATAATTGAGCACCAGGTTGAGGAGGAAGTGTATTTAGCCCCAAGAGGCAGTCCCAAATACTTTACCGGGAGAGAATCAGTTTGACAAGCCATCACTTTTGCACATTCTTATAAATTTGAAACATGGCCCACTGGGATGATCTGACTTTTACTCGGGTTAACTTTGAGACTAGACACCACTTCAAACCAGCTCAGAATCCCAAGCACTGTTTCCAATTGAGTCATAGAAGCATCAACAAAACATAAGGTATCATTTGCAAATTGACAGATATTGACTTTCTCCTTTCCAGGGGAGATTGCAAACCCATTCCATAAACCAAATTCTGCAGCCTTCTTGCTAAAAAGTGTGAGAATTTCCATGGCACAGATGAACAACAAAGGGGACAGAGGATCTCCCTGCCTCATGGAAATCTGCCTTTCCATGTGAACATATATTAGAGATCAAAACTGATGAAGGCAAACAAATCAAAATCAGAATTTTTAAAATTTTTATGTATTTTGTACATTTAGACAATAAGGGCAATTTAGTTTGCATATTGTATGTAGTTCCAGCTTATTCATTTAATTTGTCTACTCATATGGTTGTAATTAAGATTTTAGAGTCATTGTGTATTTATCTTAGGAATTGTTTTCTATGCATCAAACTAGGATAGGGTTGATTTTTGTAATTTTTGTACTTAGTTCTTATAAGAATGACCACCCGTAGATTGTTTATATATTTGTATACTGTAAAGTGTAAGAACATAGAGGAATAAATGAGCTGAGTTTGTTTGAGTTCTTATGGCTTATGTGAAGTGTGGCAAATGATTCCCACACCCTAAAGCTATTCTAGGCATCCCATTAAGTGGTCCTGGATTCTCTCTATTCTATAGCTATCTTTTTAATTTTGCAAGTAGCTTTTACAGTCATCAACAGCAAGTAAGTTCTCCATCAAAAGCATTTATTTACCATTCCGAAAGTACTAAAACTGATCTAGGTAAGCTTTTCTATATTTTATGTCAAAACCCAAAATTTTTCCGTTGCAACCATTTTCCCCTTTTGTCCCAAATCATCTCCAATTGTTCCCATATTTGGACACTGATATAGGACCAGTTCAATTCTAGTCCTTAGAAAATGTTTAGTGGTCTCTTTGATCAGAAATTTATGGCTGTTGATAGCTGTAATGGCTTCTTGAAGGAATGAGAAAGAAAACAGGGAGAGAAAGAAGAGAGAAAATACCTAGTACCACTCACAAGATGTCTAAAATTACTCTAGTGTATGGGATTCACTCACCATAATTAGTGTAAGCTGAAGAAAACTCAATAAACTTCATTGCTCTTTGTGTAAAACGTCCATACGTATTTATAGACTCTAAACTCATAATAATCCTAGGAGTCAAACTATTACACTCATAATAATAGTCCTAAGAGTCAAATTGTTAGACTCAATAACCCTAGTAGGACTCAAACTAAACTACCATTATCTTATTTCAATTCAAAGAAGACTCAATAACTCTAATCCTACTTATTGCAATGACTCTAACTTGAGAATGAAAAGTTGATAGCCCTAATGACAAAAGGAGGACTTCCCATTAGCTACATGATTGGACTGTAGAGTAGAGGCCACACACATAACTAGAAAAGGATCTTGAAAGAAATGTGTTGGAATAATGTTAAAATAACTTAGTTGCAGATGTTAGGGCCTGTTTGGCTAATTAAAGTGTTTTTTTATTTCGTTTTTTTATTTCTGTTATGTCTGTTATTGTACTCAGGGGCACAAGGGTCTTTTCCCTTGTTATTTCTGTCGCCCTATATATAGTAAAATAAACATTGGCGCCGCCAGTACTGTTACATTGCAAACCCTCTCTCTTCTCTCCTCTCTTCTCTTCTCTTCTTCTTCTCTCCTCTTCCACTTATCTCTGGCCGGCTACACTGTCAAGAAAATGTATTTCTGAAACACTGCCTTCCATAACCATCTTTGTTTAATCATCAATAACATTAGCTTCTTGAACACTTAAATCATCAACTTGCCATTTTGGTGAATCTTCCCCTCACTTATCCCAAATCTCAACTGCAACATTTGGAACTTTTTCTTCAATCTCTAGCTTAAGAATCACTATCTCTATGTGTTCTTCTACCCTTGGTTCTTCAACAAACTCTAGGACTTCTTCCATTGTTGATGTTGGTGGACTTGTGCCATGTCGGGTTGTAATTTTTGAATTAGTTATAGTTGAACTTGTAAGGTAAAGTCACTTCCTTACTAGGTTCTGCTTCTATCGAGTAAATACCGATCAATGATGAAATAGAGAGCAGAGAAAATGTGGAAGGGAAATGGCACTCACAGTTTCTGATCATTGTCGATTTCAAGCTTTTTCTAGCATCTTGTAGTAGGATTTGCGATATTGACCTGTAGAGAAAATGAGGATGATTAGGTGGTAGAGAGGTTGAGATGAGGAGACCGCCATGGTTAGGCGATAGAGATCCAAAGACCAGGAAAGGGGTTTCATTCAAAGAAGTGACTAAAACTAGAGTACAGCTGACAAAAGGTGAGGCCAGGTTTTTCAGGAATGATGGGTTGTTCTTCATTGAGACGTCGGAGAAGGGCGTAAATCTTCGAAAGAAATTCCTGGAGGGATGCCTTGTTAGTAGGTTCGTGGCAGAGGTATCTGATCTTGTAGTAGTGGAGAGGTGGACTTAGGAAGCTTGGGGTGCTTTAGGGGAGGTGAAGGTTACAAAACTTGTGAATGGATTGTTTCTGTTCATAGCCTCCTCGGAGAAAGAAGCGGAGGCAGTTCTTAGTGGTGCGCCGTGGTACCTGGGGGAGAATATGCTTCTCCTTGACAGATAGAGTGCTTGTGCGGGTTGCCTCTCCAACGAACCTTCCGAGAGAGGCAATCTCGATCAGAAGATCTGGGTCCGTATTTATGGACTTCCACTGATCTTGTGGAGTTCGGAAGTTATCTCAGCGATCGGGGATTTCTGTGGGGGTTTCCTAGCCACAGATGACTCCACAGAGGAGCTGGCGACCTATGAATGGGTGAGATTGCAGGTGGTATGGAGGGGAGAGATTCCGACAACGGTGGAAGTTAGAGTGGGTGAAGTGGTGTATATTGTACACATCTGGCTAGAACTAGAA